AAGATTACCTTAAATTATAACATCTATAAATAAAGTTAAATTAGAAAAAAAAATTTGAATTAATAATCATTTTATGTATTTTTTTTTTTATTATCAATTTCGAAATATGATCATATGACTAATTAATCAAATACTTTATTAAATAAAAAAATGTTAAAAAAAGTCTCAATTACTTTAAATTATTATATATTGAAAAAAAAAAAGGTATATAAAGAGAAAAAAAAGAGTTTTTTATAAAAGTTTTTATCATAATATTAATGATTAGATCATCCACCTCCGTTAACGTATAAATATTAGCAAAAATAGTAACAGGTTTTTATTCATATATCTTAAATTAGACTAAACAAGCAATATAGATATAAAAATAAAAATGGGTAAGATGAATTAAAAATAATTGTGTATAAAAATTAAAATGTAAACATTAATATAAAGTAATATTAACAAATTTAATCCTATTAAATTAAATCTAATTTTTGAATAATATTTTACGAACATTATTTATTCTTATAACAATGACACCTAAGAATACATAATATTAATATAAAATAAGCAATTTATGGCAATTCTAACACATTTAACGCGAGAAATTTAGTTAATACTTACTTTTATAATTTCAATACATCCTGTAGGGATGTTTAACGGTCGGGTCCTGCGGTCTTTTTACAAACGTTGGTCATATATGCTTGATCCGTATCAGAGCCAACTAACTCATCTAAATAAGATCATATAATAAAGCAGTCTGGATTCTTAAACGTTCTATAAAATTGACGTCACCGCGGGCCCGGACCGGCCATAGACTGAAAAGGCTAGTCTGAAAAAGACTTGATGTTAACATCCCTAGCATCCTGTTTGAGATCTAATCTCAAAGTCTTGACTTAAAATAGTATCATTTCCTTGACTTTTGTAATCGTCTAAATATCCAATTGAACTATCTTGTGACATTAGGGAGCCGTGGCTTAAAGAAGTTTGGTTCTCCATCATACGAAGCCGATCAGACTGAGATAGTGCGAGGCTCATAGATCCTTGGCTACTATATGCGTTTTGAGTTAATGGACCTTGAGATGAAATGGAATTGGTATACCCGCCACCATAAGAAGAATTTTGTTGTTTGACGTTTTTCCTGCTAGAAACACTACTCTGTGATAAATCTTGGGTAAATGGGCCGTTTGGTGTTGGAAGTAAGGGAATGCTGAATTGAGATGATGATGGAATGGAGTTCATATCAGAAGGAATATAGCCAACGGGATCATGTGTCCTCATGAAATCCGAGTCATAAGCACGACTACCGCGACGATCTATAAAGATGATTTCAATGTAATTGAATAATGATTTTTTTTTTAAATGTGCTCATAAACAAACATCAAACAATATGATTATGATCTTCACATACTTTCGCTAGCGAGAGGAGGTTTGGCAAATGCTTCACGCGCATCAACTTGATGTACTAAACCTTGCCTAAATTTTTCATCCTTTCGATAAGCTCTATGAGGTCTAAATTGAATCATACTCTTTTTTAAGTTATTTAGAGCACCTTCGACTAAGCAATTTTTATCTTTATAGTGTACAAGAAGATGGTGCCACAAAGGGTGCTAAAGAGGCAAAAGATAGAATTTGATATTCATGTTTAATAAAATAAGATCAACATAACAAGTGAAATGATTTCATACCTTACTTAGAACCCTAGGATTACCTAAAATTACAACACCATAACGTGCCCGAGTTAAAGCGACGTTCAATCTTCTAGGATCATTCAAAAACCCTATTCCTTGATGTTCATTGCTTCGGACACAACTCAATATTATATAATCTTTTTCACGTCCTTGAAAAGCGTCAACACTTGCTACTTCAATGTCTTTATATAAATCCTTTCTTAAAGAGCCATTAAATTGCATATAACTAACAACATAACTTCTTTGACCTTCGTATGGAGTAATTATTCCTATTTGAGGCGGCAAGATTCCTGATTTTAGGAACTTTGTGACAACTTTCTCGCAATTTGAAGCCTCCGTACTTTCATTAATATATAATAAATGTAAATCATTAAATTTATGTCAAATCATTAAAAACCAAAAGGGTTGGAAAGTATCCTCACCGATTTAGATAGGAAGTTCCGCTGCTTGAAATTTCCTCTTGGCCTAGATTTGAATGGAAAAACATGGGAGTCTCCGGAGCTGGCCAAGGAAAATCCACGTGTTTTCTTAATCTATCCTGAGTAGTAACTCCGTTCTGTAAAGAACCTTCATAGAACATATTGCTAGGAAATTCTGATAAACAAGGATGCATACGATATTGAACTTGTAGTCGAATAGGCCTTATACCCAATATAACTAAGCGCTCAAAAAGTGATTGACACAATCCTGCCCTAGCAGCTTTCTTATTCATAATTACTGGGCCAAGTTGTTGATGATCACCGACAAGAACAGCTTGTTTACATCCTAACACAAGCGGTATCATACATTCAGGTTCGGTTGCCTGTGTAGCTTCATCAATCAAGACTGTGCGAAATTTAAATTTTGATAAACGTGGATCACCAGCACCAACGCACGTACAAAGAATGACATCGGCATTCTAATTATTAAAATCATTACTCATATAAATAATTGAACAAAATTAAAAACGCCGAGAAGACCATGTTAAATTATATTACCTGCAAAATCTCTCTTTCACATGCACGTTTCAACATTTTGTATTTCTTTTCATCAGAACTACTCAATTCTCCTTGCTCTGTCTTGAGTTGAATTAATTTTTGCAATTCGACATGAGTATCATTATTTTGCACTTGTTCATGTAATGTGAGAAATGATACAGGAGAATCAAGTGCCTCACGAGATTTTGCGGTGAGACGAACTACTTTAAGTCCAGTTGCATGTATTTTTTCGGTTAACTGATCTACAGCAACATTTGATGGTGCACAAACTAAAACTTGACCAGGATTCATCTTGGCAAGATGATAAACAATGGTGGCTGAAGTTACAGTTTTACCAGTACCGGGAGGACCTTGAATGAGACTGAGAGGTTTTTGCAAAACACTTTTTACTGCATAAACTTGGGAATGATTTAATTCTGGCAAGTTTGGAGCAGAAAATCTAAATAACACGGATAAATATCAAGATAAATGTCAACAATAACAACTCAAACATAAATAATTCTTTAGCTAAATAATATATAATTGTAAAATATATGAACCTTTTTGGCATTTGTGTTCTAAGGACTTGAGGGTCTACTTCATGGCCTAAAAGCTTGTGATATATATAACCGCTAACTGAGGTTTCGTCCACAGCAAATGTTTTCATTGCAGCCTGCATTCTATCAAAACTAGTGGATTTCCACACAAAATCTACTGAAAAGTTATGCGTACATTCTACTGGAGTATTATCGCTACGACGCAACTCTAAGCCCACTTCATCACTAACATCTATATATAAATATACGTAATGGTGAGATAATAATATGAAAGAAAGGTAAATATTTTATTGACTTACTATTTGGTATTTTAATTACATGACCCACGCATTCCCATGATGGATGCAATTCACCACGATAACGAAGTCTTAATTCATCGCCGACAGCCAAACGAACCTCTAGGGAAAAATTTTTTTTTTTTCATATAGATTGATTATTGTAATTCTGATCAATATTTTTTAATTCTAATAATGAATTTATAAGATAACATACCCCCTGATTCAAGTTTTGGTAAGTAAAACCAAGCAATACGCTTTTGATTTAACCCAACATCCCATCGGACTACAATATCGTCCTGAGTCTGAGATTCCTTCAATTTCTTGTCATAATCAGCTTCCATTTTTACTAAAGGTCCGAAAATATTTTGATATTGGTAGGCATCCTCGTATCTCAATAATACAGGTAATGCTTCATCATCAATACCGGGTTTTTCTAAATCTTCAAGAGTTGCTTCTGTATTATCTTTCCACAATTCTTCGAGCTTATTAATTTGATGTGCCGTGATCTGACGAGCTCGAAGTTGTTCTTGTTCGCTAGGAACTTTAACAAGCCATGCAAGAAAGCAACGATCATCAATTAGGGGAAGCCACTGAGAGGTGTCCCAATTCATATCTTTACTGCTAGGCATTGCAGCACAAGGTTGCCTAGAAAAGGGGGGTGTTTTTTTTTTGTCAATAATTTTTTTTTTTAAAAAAAAAAAAAAACTTTATAAATTTGGTTAATTTCATTTAAATTTACCGACAAAGCAATACCACAACCGTGTCACTCTTAGCTGGAATAAATCCTAATAAGAAAACATTCCTGCAACCACAATTATAGCATTCCAACGTCGTTTCGCCAAGTGGAGAATCCGGGTGCAAAGCGACTTCTTTATGTTTTGCCCGAACAAGGTGATTGATTATATGAGAACCAGAGGTATTTCCGCGAGAATTACAAAACCATTTGTTACATGTCACGCATCTGGCTACCGAATTTACTGCGTGTATACCGCAATATCTAGTGAAATAGGCGTAAGACGTTAGGCAACCTTAAATGGCTTATCAAAAATAGGACTAATGAGATATACCTGCATGCGTGTTCTGGTAACTCCCTTTCAACAATAGCAAGATCTTGGAACGCGTCTAATTCGTCAGCACCAACACCGGATAAATCTGGCTCAACGAATTGAGACTGCGAGCCGTCGAGTAAAGTATTGGTTTGCTGAGATTCAAGTGAAAAGTCATTATAATCATATTGCGAAGCTTGAGTATCTCCCCCAGAATATTCCAAAAAAGAAAAGTTCTCATCGTCTTGAGTATCCTGAGTATTTTGAGTACTAAATCGATTCATTTTAAAACCTTTGAGAAAAATGAAACATTTGATAATTAAGTAGTATTTATAATACTATTTAAGCTGCGGATATTATCATTCATCACATGATTTTACTTTTGTTTCCAATTATGCCCATTAAACATTACTACAATTTTCATCACACGATGTTGATGTCACACCTTTGATGTTTAATCGGAATATTTTCTGATTCTCTATCAACGACGAAAATGGCCGAACCACCAGCAATAATGGTTGACCCACATCAATCACAGATGGCTGAACCTTTGAGTCAAGATCAAATTGATAATGTAGAAATGACGAGCAAAGACTATTATTTTGACTCTTACGCTCATTTCGGCATACATGAAGAAATGTTAAAAGACGAAGTTCGAACTCTTTCTTACCGTTCGTCTATTTACCAAAACCGGCATCTTTTTAAAGATAAAATCGTTCTTGATGTTGGTTGTGGAACTGGAATTTTGTCAATGTTTGCTGCCAAAGCTGGAGCTAAGCACGTTTATGGAGTAAATGTTATAAAATTTATCTTGACATTAAATGTTTTATAATTAATTTAGGCTTTATTCTTAGATTGACATGTCAAATATTATTGATCAAGCGCGCCAAATTGTCGTTGATAATAATTTAGATGATAGTATGGATTAATAATACCTTTCTACTACTGTATCTCAATCAGAATATTGTATTTATGATCCTTGTATGCCTTTTAGAGATTACCCTTATCAAAGGCAAAATGGAAGAAGTCGAACTTCCAGTTGAGAAAGTTGATATTATCATCTCAGAATGGATGGGATATTTTTTGCTTTATGAGTCTATGCTTGATACCGTTCTTGTTGCACGCGACAAATACTTGGTAAGTAATCAATAATTCGTTATGTTATGTTTTAATTTATCAAATGATTAATTGTTGTATTTCGATATTATTAATTAGAAACAAGGTGGGTTAATATTTCCTGACAAAGCAACTATTTATCTGGCAGCTATCGAAGATGGTGAATATAAAGAAGAAAAAATCGGATGTAAATATGTTTTATTTTGAATTTTAATTTATTTAATATCTGATATTAAATAACCAATGCTTTTTTTTCTATATTTCAACAGTCTGGGATAATGTTTATGGGTTTGACTTTAGCTCAATTAAATCTGTTGCCCTTAGGGAGCCTTTAGTGGACACCGTGGATGCTAAAGCTATAGTAACAAGTCCATTTGCCATAAAGGTATAATCATTTCTCAGATATTTCAAGAGAGTATGCGTTTTAATTATTTTACAAATATTTTGCCGCCCTAATTTTATTTTGATATTTTTTTTTTTTTTTTTTAGGAGATTGATATATACACTGTTCAAAAATCCGATTTATCCTTTTCTGCACCGTTTAATTTAACTGCCACGAGGGATGATTATATTCACGCCTTTATCGCATGGTTTGATATTACCTTTTCAGCTTGTCATAAACCAATTAGATTTAGTACAGGTTTGATATCCTTAATTTTTTTTTGACTAATATCCTATTTATTAACATTCTTTAATGATGACATTCGAATTATTTAGGTCCACATGCTAAATACACTCATTGGAAACAGACAGTTTTTTATACTACTGATGCCATCACTATAAAAAGTGGTGAATCCATCAAGGGTTCTTTATCTTGCGCTCCTAATAAACGAAACAATCGAGACTTGGACATTGAGATCTCTTATGAATTCCATGGGGATACAGCTCCTTGTTCTGAAGTGTGTAAATATAGGATGTGAGTGTATTATTTATATATTTTTAGTATAATATGGTTGTCATTGCTAAAAAAAATAAAAACTAAATATGGTTCTCTATTTCATCATTTTATTTGTTTTCTCGATTATGACCCAAGGAATTAGGTATTAAATAAATGATTATTTAAATTCAATGTTTTATTATATATATGCTGATAATAGAATCCTGTGTTGGTAAAAAATATTTATTTGCCAAAAAAAAAATTGTATAATAAAATATAAATATGATCTGTTTTCAATATAAACAAACGTCTTTTATGATTTTTTTTTTTATTTATCAAAAATTTATCTGGATTTTTATTTTTATTTTTATTTTGCACATACCACTCCCCCCCTTATTTTCAATGTATATCGAAATATATCCGTTATTTACATTATAAATCATTCACCATTAATAAAAATTCAATTATAATTGGTAATTTAATACCCCTTTTTTTTTTGTAAAATTGATTAAGATTTATAAACTAAAAAAAAAAAGTTGAAAATTATTCATTAACTATGAATATGTTTTTTTTTTGCGTGTAAAGATTGTTCGCTTGATGATTTTTTTTTCTTAAAATTAAATAATTCCATTATTTAAAATCCATTAAAGGTAAAACATTCAAATCTGATAGATCAATATGAGGAATCATAGTTGAATCTAAGCCACTACATCTCTTCCTCTTATTCAATCCGGTTTCTTCGTCTAATGTTAACACTTGTTGATCATCCAAATCAAATGTTACTGAACGTTCCCTTTCTTTTTGTTTCCCAGAACAACCATCAAATTCTGAAATGAGTGCATAGCCGCTGCTGCTACTATTATCTTGTTCATCCATCCCACTAGAATCTCTATGAATATAAATATCGTTATTATAAATACTTGGGTAACGAAATGCTAATAATTCTGTATCGTTATCCTTGGGAGAAAATGGAGCCCAACCCCTTTCCTTACGATGACCATCAAATTGATGATGTTGTTCTTTCTGGAAAGCATGACGACTTCCCATCTTCCGTAATATTGAAGAAATTGAGTGTTCACGTGAATGATGACCCGGTTTGACGGGAGATACTAAAGAGATTCCGCTATCACGATGTATCTTACAAGCATCGTTTTCACACTTTTCATTATGTTCATTACCAGGAGAAGGTGGTGTAGAGGTATTTATAATTGAAGACAATTCATGCCTTTTTTCCATATTAAAATGGGTAGTCGTATTTGGAGTAGGAGGTAAAGAAGGGGAAGAATTATAAACGTTATTATTAAGAGATGACGAGGGAGTCTGATTAACAGAAATGGTATGCATAGTGTCTGCACTATTGGTCCTGTTAGCAACAGGTTTAGATAAATGAATAAAAGGAGCTCTTCGGTGTGAAGAATTCCTTGATCTTACGGTAGACTGAGAAGGTGATGGTGGTATTGAAGGTTCTGCTCTTAAAGAAGTTACATCTCTATCGAAATGAGATGTCAAAGGAGTTAAGTTATTATTATAATTATTATTATTATTATTGGATGGGTTCCCTATTACCGATGATAATTTCTTTGCAGTTTTTTTAAATATGAATTTTATGCGTTGTGACTTTCTTCTATGATCTATTACAGAGTCCAAAAGTTTGGGGATTGTTTCAATTGGTCTTGATGACCCATATTCAGGTTCAATCGAATAAATAATATCATTTGTTGGTAAGGGTGAAGTATATTCTTTATCCTTAATAGTATTTGATCTAGAATTAGATAATGATGGTACATGTATTACTTCAGGTATGACAGATGGTGTATTATCTGGTAAAGATGCACTAAATCTTTCTTGGGCTTCTTGAGCTTCTTTTCTTAATTGAGCTTCCAAGGCGATTAATTTTTTCTGTAAATCAACATATACCAATACGAAATGTGTTTTGGTTTCTCGTGACGTTGGCATCTAAATATGAAGAAGAGTACATAAGTAAATTAATTTTTTTTTTAAAAAAAAAAACATGAATAAAATATTATTATCATTATAATTAATTTGATCAAATAAAATTAAACAGTTTAATATATTTCTAATTTTCACAATGATTTTAAGCTAAATTACATTAATTATCTCATCGATTTAATTAACCGTGACATGATTACACGAGAATAAATCTAGCGGATGTAAAATAATAATAATAATAATATATATATTATTATTATTATTATATATTAACGTTAAATAAAAGAAAGAAACAAACATACCATCCCAGTATGAAGTTTTAAGTTTTCCTCCGTTAGAGAACTTGAATAATTTTTATTCTTTCCATTTCTCGGCAAACGAGATAAATTATTAACATTTGTTGAAATAGTTAAGGTATGTTCGGTCATTGCATATGATATGTGAGTTATGCAAAGTTTAATATTAGAGGACACGTAATAAAAAATAAAATTATTATATTTAATTTTAATTGTTTTATCTTTTTTTTTTTTTCCCTTTTTTTTTTTTGAAAAGAGAGCAAGTAATAAACATCGACCGTCGGTCGGATAAGGCAAGGTTTTTTACAAATTTTTTTTTTTTATTCAAAAAATCAGCTGTGGAGGTTGATATGCAGATTTGTTTAGAGAAAAGCGGTGATGATTAATGGTCACATCCTATTTATTTTTACCAAAGAAATAAGGGGGTAAAGTGTAACACGATTGTAATTCCGAATAAATATTTTGATTACTCAATAATAATATTTTTGTTTCAAAGTTTTTTTATTTGACATTTAAAAACATTGTGTAAGAAAGAAGAAATGATTTGAAAGTTAGTGGGGCAATTTATTGTTACGCGAAAGTTATAATAAGTAAAAAAAGACGTAACACGATGCTATTAATGAATGTGGTTACATATTCTCGATAATATTTTAGGTTAAAAAATTTCTAGAGGTTACTTTTTCTCATTACACATCACAAAAAAACTCTGTCAATGAAATCTCACATGGTAATGCCGTTTGATTAAATAAATCGTTCTACCTAAATTTAGTGTATCCTAATTAACGATAAAGTGCATAATAATATGAATTGAAACTTTAATGTGGGTATTTGTTTTTTTTTGGACTTGTCTTTTTTCGTATTTTTTATAGATGCTTTGAAACCATCGCGATTTGATTTGTGGCGCAGCGATTTCTTTAAACACGAAAATATTATGAGTTTTTATTTTGGCAAATATAAATTTTTTTTCATCTTATGATCAAACGTTATGAACGGCAGTTCATGCAAAATTACCAAAGAAATAAGTAATGGGTGAAGGAACTCACGATTTGCAGAAAATATTATTGAGCGTAAAATGCTTGGAGGTAGAGAATTGAGTAGAGCGTAAATTAATTAAATTATTGCAAATATAACAAATATATACTCTTTTTCTTTATTTATTGTTCTTTTTGACATATAGCGTCAGAAATTAAAAAATTTAAAAGGCTCAGGGTTTCCAATTCCAATAGAAATTCGATTTTCGGTTAATCAATTCTGAATTCGATTTTTCGATTTGGGTACCTAGAACTTATTTACCTTTAATGGGTGTTAAATAAATGAAAGTTATTTAATCTAACTAAAAAAATTTTCAATCGGACAAACTATATAAACTTTAGCATTGAGAATAATCAATTATTTAGTTTATTCTTTTAATAGAAAAAAAGAAAAAAGAAAAAGAACAAAAAAAGGGGGATTATTTGGTGTTATTGATTTATATAATGTAAATAATGTATGCAACTGTACATTGAAAAACGAGATCAAAAGTTAAGTTAAATAAAGTAATAAAATAACAATAAAACATATAATTATTATATATTAACAACCTATGTAAATTACACTTTCACCAATATAGGTATTTAGGTCAAAATCGAATATTTGCTAGGAAAAAGGGGTTCTGAAACTATGTATTATAAAGTCTTAGACCCCATTTCCAAGCAAAACTCCATTTAGTTTCTCCTTTTCTTCCGATAATCGTTGAATCATACTTTAAGAATAAATTCAAGCGATGTAAAATAATTATTATAATAATAATATTATGTTATTACAAACATACCATCCCATTGAAATTTTAAGTAGATAATTTGTAAATGAGAAAAATTATTAATTGCAATTTTGTTCATTCATTGCATATGTTAAGTGGACGCGTAAAATAAAACTTTCCATTTTGAGAGAGTGGGTAAATATCGACTGTCGTAGCCATTTTTTATTCGGAACAGAAATCAGCCGTGGTAGTATGCAAGCGGTGACGATTAATGTGTCACACTTACCATTCTACCAAGAATAGGAGTAAGATTTTTTGAAAGAATTTACTGTTACGCAAAGTTATAAGTAGCAACGAAAATGTAACACGATACTATTAATGAATGTATATTATTTGAATTATTTTTTCACCTACTTAAAGGAAAACAATTGAAAACTGACAGAATATATAAATAATCGATATTCACTAATAGAATCTCACATTTTTGTTTGGCGAATAACGTAAAATGATGATATTTTATATAATCGTTCTACCTAAATATAGTTGTATCCTAATTACTCAGATTATTATTATTACAATAAATATTAACTAACTATAAATACCAAATATTGAATTGAAAACTTTAATGTGAATTAAAATTAATAATTGGAGAGATTATAATAATAATAATTTTTTTTTTGCTTTTTTACTTTGTTGTTTAAGTTTGTTTGTATTCACATCGTCCTTATTTTGTTGTCCATTTTCGTTCACGAGATTTGGCAAATTCAATTTCTTTCTTCTTCTGTTCTTCCCTTTCCCGTTCATACTTAACTGATAATTCGTTGATTTCTGCAATTTCTTGTGAAGTTGGGAAACCAACTTTCCAGAAACCTGGTGGAGTTTGTGGACGACTATACTTGGCTCGATGCCGCGAAATCGACTGTTTCTTTTTTTGTATTAAGGTTTCTATATCGGTTACCGATGATTGATTATGATCACAATTTCGTAACAAATTGAAACCTGCCATTTCATAGTACTAGGAAGAGAATATTCAACGAAAGAAAAATAATAAATAAAATGACTACTTTTTTTTTTTTTTTTTGATTATATATGAAATTATTTACTTTGCGACAATCACGACAATCTTGCGCCATCAATTGGCGCCTTTCATTCTTTTTTCGTACAGTTTCGATATATCTATAAGCTTCTCCTTGTTTCGAAGCATCATCATTATTATTGATTACGCCATTATTCGCAATGGAAGATGGCATCAAAGGATCGGCATAATCCGCGTCGTTGTCATCGTACATATCATCAGTTGATTTTTGCGGCCGTTTCGAATCCGGTTTGAAACGATCGTTATAAGGAGTCTTTATGTTAACTTCATCTGGTATATAATCTTCATCAAAGTCTTCATCAAAGTCTTCGTCAAAGTCTTCATCGAATTCTTCTCGTAACTCATCTTTTGGTTTAAAAGTTAAAGGCTTATAACGTTTGTTAGTAATTTCAGCAGAAATCAATTCATTGTCCCCAATTTTTTCCTGCTTGATCATTTTATCTACGGTCCTTTTCTTGCTTAATGACTTATCGTTATCATCCAAAGTGAAATCATAAAAACTATCTTCAAGATTAATCGCAAGTTCAGGCGTTGTACCTTCGAGTAATCTTAAATTTTTTAGTTCTTTTTCATTACCATTTCCTTTGTTTGAACCTTGAATTTCTGTTTTTACATTAGTCATATTGTGATCAAAGTCATTTGGTAAGTCAACGTAGTCTTCGTTCCACTCATGATCATAATAAATTGGATTTGACTCAGGGTTATGTGTTTTATCATCATTTTTCAACATTGATCCAGGTAATGGATTCGGAGAGGATGATATATCATGTGAAGATCGATTATTATCCTTGCAAAAAGCATCATCATCATCTTTATTATATGATGACCCAAGTATTAATGCCTTATTGACATCAGATACGTGTTCATCAATTGTTGCAACATTCTCACGATTATGAGGAGATCTTTGGCTACGCATGTTTGTCACATCGGTAAGGGCGCCTGCCTTTGAATCATTACTGAAAGGTGAATCTCTTTCATTATTAATCGTTGGAGATTTTTCAAATTGATCTTTAGTTTCTTTATTAGTCAATTCATTCGTACATTCAGGGTTTTTTAGTGCATATTTTTGTTCATCCAACCACTTTTTCACGCGTTTCCATTCAACAGATCTTTTTTGATAGTGTTCTTTGAGTTCTTGATACGCTATGTATAGCGTTTCAAATTTAGTTTGCAATTTTGTGTGTTTATTACTCCATTCATCGTTCAAATCCTCAAGAGCTTTCAAATGTCTTCTATATTGATATTAGAATGAAATACAAAAAGAATTTATTTAAATTAAATCAAGCAAACCAAAATATGAATTGAATGAATACCTTTCGATTTCCAGGAGCATATCAGGTGAATGACGTAATTGAGTAGAAATATCTTTGATGAATAATACGTCATTCGAAGAGGATCCTCGTTGTGGACACGGATTACTTTATACAAATAAAAGTGATATAGATATATTTAGAAATGATTTAATGTATACATTACATTTTATACACGTGCTTACTCTCCAAGATTTTCCTTGATGTCTTCAGTGTTTGACTTCTCATTATCGAGATCCATCAAATCCAAATGTCCTTTGTCGTGAGGTTTATAATCATTAATACGATGTTGTAATTTATCAATTTTCTGAATAAGAGCATTATTTTGTTGTTGGGTGACATGATTAACTTTATTTTGTTCCCTAATAGCTTTATTAATTTATATCAACCAGGAGAATAGGAGAATAATAGATAAATATCAGTCAATTATTGATAAAATATCAGAGAGAGAGAAAAAATTTTTGTTATCCGTTCAAATTACTTTCTAAAGCTTGACGTTGCCATTCAAGTATATTCTGTACCATAGAAGCTGGAATATAATTTTGTTCCACATTGTGAGCATTATTCGACATTGCCTGGCTTTCTCGAGCTTTATCGAGAGACACGTTATTATTAGAAGAATTCTGCATGTAGCTTGTTACTTCTCTTTACTAAGACTTTTATTATTGTGAAAAAACTTTTTTTTGTTATGGTCAGTCAATAAAAATTAATAATTCCCGATTTATAAATAATCCAATTGAACTGAACCTTTCTTCAGTCAGTCTGAGAAATAGAAAAACACTTTTTTGTCAAAACATTCGACCGAAACTGCGTCGTTTCATTTGAATAACATTACTGATTTATATAGAACATCAAAACAACGCCAAAAAAAAATAAATAATTGTTTATTTTAACAAATTAGAAATCACGAGGATCTTTCTTTTTTTGTTTTTTTTTTAAACTTTCATTTGCCAAAATTTTTTTCGGAGATAATAAGTTTATAAGGCGGACACCATATGACCGTCACAACTTTATTATGTATAACTATGTAACGATTAACGACGGTCATTCTGTGTTTTTCTCCACTAAGGTTTAGCTAGTCTTTTATAGGCCTTTTTTTGGAGCCAATGTAAAATGCGAAGCTGTCCGCCGCATTTTTTTTTATTTGACGATCGTTCTTATTGTTACGAATGTAAAATTGCTGCATCGGAATCCACCGCATTTTTGATTTATTTGACGATCGTTCTTATCTGGAATTGGAAGACGTTTTCTAAAAAAGGATATGTTATAGCGGAACTATTTACAAGGGTAAAAAGAGGGATTAACTCATAACTCAGTTAAGTGAGTTTGGCGTGTTACACAACACTGGGCAACGAAAACAGTAAAATCATTTGATCATAAGCTTTCAGAACATTTTTTATTACAAATTTTATGAATTTATTGTATAGTATAAATTCGAGCCGAATTATATATACATTCTAGAATTTATTATTATTATTATTATATATATATATTTTTTTTTCAAATTAAAAAAAAAAATTCCCAAATTATTCTTCGCCAATCTTTGGTGCAAGATAAAATCTAATATAACCAGCATCATCCATTTTATATTCCACCAGTAAAGGCATATTTTCTGAAAGTCCAAGCATAACTTGATCGGATAAAGGTGTTCCTTTCGTGAAATTCATTAGATATTTAAGGGAAAATTGGAGTGATACTGAGGTATTGAGTTCGATCACAACTTGTTCTTCCGGCTAAATAAATGAAAATATTTATTAATCGTATACTTTTGATTTGTAATACTTTTGAAATTTGCAAGGAAATACTAACCTTATCAACTGATGGATTTTGTTTCAATTTTACACTTCCAGAACCCATTTCACCTTCTGCCGAAAATACGACCGCGTCCTTTGCAACATCAACGCTCACTAAAGGATAGATGACAAAAAATCATATGAATAATAATCTTTCATAATATAATATCCAATCAATTATGATGTACAAGATTTTATACCTGACTCACTGATAACCATTAGATCACGACAGATCCTTTGAAATTCGGTCGAAGACATGATAATTGTCGCATCATAATCAGTTTCGGGAATACTCAAATGTTCTTGATCTATGTCCATTAATTTCAATTCATATTCACTGACCCTTTCATTATCTAATGCAAATGTTACACAAAATAACGCGAAATCATTAATCGTTGAAGTCAGGTTAACCACCACATCAAAATTACACATTTTAAAATAAAGAAATTATATATTCATACTTGGACTTTCAAAGCATAAACTTAAACTATCCGCCGAGTTATCGTCGGCTTTTAAAGTAATAATATCATCGTTTCCCGCACATTTCAATATCTTACTCAGAGAGTTCAAGTTAACACCTAAAGAGAATCCTCGGTCACATCGGTATGGGTGAAACCCTTCTGAGCGAAGCAAAAGAGATACTAGCGCGACGTGTGAGTTATCCATGGCTTGAAGTGCAATACCCGTCTCATTACAATCAAAGTTGGCGTCTGTTACAAGCTCCTTGATGGCTTCAAGTAATTTTTTAAGAAGAGAGCCTTGACTTAAACGCGCTTCAAACATTTTTGGTAATAATTTTTTGTTAAAGAAATTTTTTAATTTTTTTGTGGTGTTAAGGTCGCGACAAAGGAATTTGTAAAAAAGATGGGTCAGAATTGGACCCCCTTAAAAATAAATTGAAAAAGTTGTACAGTTACGTAGATATGTTGTAATATAACCAAAAATATTAAAATCAATAATTTTTTATCCCTAATCAGTTTATAATTCACAATTTTTTCGGAATATAAAAAAGGTAATCGAAATTGTGTAAAAATCGCTGCTAATTACTAAAATAATTTTCAATTTTTATTGGATAATCTTATATCCATAAGTAATACCGAAATAATTAATTTTAATTATGTTAACAAATTATTTTATTTATATAATAAAAACATATAATAAAATATTAACAATATATTAATTATTATTTTTTAAAATTTTAATATGATGTTTATCTTTTAATATTAGTTATTTATTTACTAATGCAATATTTAAATACATCATTATTATTATTTTTTTTTTAATTATAATTTAGTTTAAATTTAAATTATAAATATAATAAATAAAGTAAAAAATTATATAAATATTATCATCCTTTAATAATTTTTTAAGAAACATTTTTATAATTTTACTTCTTAATTAAAATTAATATAAGTTTAAAAGTTTTTGATATTTTTTAATAAAAGCTAAAATCAATTATTTTTGTATTTTTAAAAAATTACATCATATATTATTAATTTTTAAATAATATTTTATGAAAAAATTATATTATTAAAATTTAAAAATAATATATTTATTATATATTATTATAATATATTTTAATTAAAATATAAATTAAATATAAAACTTACATTATAATAGATACAAATATTATTAAAATATATTATAATTATAATCTTTTAATACATTTAAAATTTTATATAATATTATATTTTATAAATTAAATATATAAGAAATTTATAGTAAAAAAAATATTGTAATTAATAAATTTTATTATATATTAAATATAATTCTTTTAATAAAATAAATTTGAATTTAATATAAATATTATTTAATAAAATATTTATTATTATAAACCTTTTTCTATTATATAATTTAAACTTTTATTATTACTAAAACTTTAAATTTATATATTAAATTTAAAATTTAATTTATATTTTAAATTAATAAATTATTATTATTTTTTTATATAAAAAATAAAGATAATGCAACTATCAATTTAAAATTATACAACTTAAATTATAATATATTATAGATTGTAATTGGATTGTATTCTAAAAAATCAAGTTATGGAAATTTTTATCAAAATTAAGATTTAATTGTATTTTAATTTTATTACATTTAATTAAAATGTAATAAATATTAATTTTAGTCAAAAATTCTTAGAACTTGATTTTCTTATATTATAATCCATTTTATATTTTTAATTAAAAGTTAAATATATAAATATAAATATTAAATAATAAAATAAATTAAATATAAAATATTTTAATTTAAAATATAATATTAATTAGACTTAAATAATTCTCAAATATATTAAACAATTAATTTTTAACAAATTGTTTTATTTTTAAAGAGTTATAAATCAGTTTTTATTGAGACCTAATCAATAAACTGACACTCAATTTGCCAATGATTATTTGGTTGACAATCACTTAGCCTACAAGTACTTATAACTGACAATCATATGGGAGCTGATCTATTAAAAATGGGTTACAGGAACTTTTTACAAAAAATGAGATTTTTGATTCATATTATAGT